CATAACCTTTACTGGGTAGGATAATCTCCTTCAGTCACTTCCTTGTAGCTTATCAGTAGAGCAGTAGAATAGTGATCTTGGAATAGCCCTTATAATGGAACACAGAGATTAACCAAGAAAAGATTAAAATCAACAGAACTAGATAGAGATAGGATTTTTGGTAAAGGTCAGATAAGAAACTATAGAAATGAAACTAGGAACTGTAGAAGGTTACCCAAAACATACCATGATGTGATTATAGAGGCATGGTTTATAGGATCAAATGGTATAAATACAGGTGTAACAGGACAATAAAAAGAGAACCTCACTATGCTGATCAACTGAATGCTGCCTCCGTGTCATTCCTTCTTCGCCAACTCCATCCACACCTTTGGGAACCCCTGGACCTGCTGGGGCTGGACCCCAACACCTGAATCTGTAGAATCAGCTAAGCTCAGATATTGTTTTAGCCGTATATTCTAGAAAACCAACTTTCAAAGAATTAAGACAGTATAAAATACATTTTCCATACATTATGGTAAATACCATTTAAGCTTTATTTTATCATTCAGAAAGCCTTCATGGTCTTAAATGCCTTGGGATCACTATGAATATTAATTATAACTTCATACTGTGTAGGGAGAAGGCAATCTGTAACCACATGCTGCCATTTCCTGTTGTAGAATGTCTTCTTCCCAATAGCGGTAGGAGCACTCGATTTCAGACTTCACACCCTTACACACGGACTAAAGTTACCTCCAGCCTTTACTGAATCTCCTTGATTTCACCTTCCTGCATCCTAAAATCTTACAGCTGTGGACTCACCGCCGTGAAAATGGCTTTCATGTGTTCCTCCCAAGCCTGAAAGCCTACAGTGACAGCAGCTTCTTATGCTGGGAGGTATCAAGCCCAACTTTTCCCTAGGAACTAGGGCCTAGGCCATTGACACTCTGAGCCAATCTGTTCATCAACCCTTACCTCCCCCTGCTCTGGAATAACTGTGCTTCCACCTGTCTGGCCATGTTCTCTCATCAGATTCCTGATGCAAAGACTGGGAAATCAGGAAGACCCAGTGAAGGCAGGAGGTTACTTTATTCCAAATGTAAGGTCATGAAGTTACAAGCAAGTGCACCCTCCTACCTATTATATTAATGAGATAAAGAAGGCATAGCATGGAACAAAGACTGATAACATTCAGAGGAGGAATAAGATGAACTCCTTAAAACCAGATGCTCAGCAAAACCCCCAAGGCCATATCAATGAACAGGAAGCATAGTCATTTATGCCCTGAAGATA